TGGAAGGCTGGAAGGCTGGAAGGCTGGAAGGCTGGAAGGCTGGAGGGCTGGCAGGGTGGAGGGCTTGCGTTGAAGGGGGGCAGTGGATATTTAAACTTCCGATTTAAACAGGTCATTTACACTACCTCTGTCATCCTTGGGCCTGGGCCGCCCTCCACATATTTAAAAAGCGTCACCGTACGTAATTGCCATGTTGGTCTTGTCTACAGGACTTGATGCGCTGACAGCCCAAAGAGGCCAACAGCTGCTGCCTCACTAGCTTTTTCATGAGCTCGACGAGCTCCGGGTCGGCATGAGGGATCAGCCGCTCGATGCCGGTGCCCTGAAAGGGTTTAAGCCGTCGGTCTCAGTCTCAACCGCAAACCTCAAGAGTATGAGTAGGATTCTCAGCAAGAATCCCCACAAGCTCCCCCCCCGGGGCCTTCTTCTCGGGGAAGTTGAAATCCATGTGGGAGGCCTGGCCGGACGCCACAGAATCTCCACAAGTTCCCCCAAACTTCCACTATGGAAATCCCTAAATCCCTCATGGAGCGGGTCTTACATCCCCCTAGAGTCCTAGAGATCCCTTCAAGGAGCTATTCTACGCAGGGTCAATCCCCAAAAATACGGCTGGGCCCACGTTGCGCCGGAACTTCCTTGCGAGAAGCTCGGCGGGAGGAGTGCCCAGCACCTCGAAACTTTTCGGAATAGGGGTAAAGTCGTATGGTGTATGTATACATAAACCCAAAATATGTGCACATACACGGCTATGCTATGCAAATATATGCGTATATACACATTGCTGCTATAGTTATAGGTTCATAGCTTTATGCTTTATAGCTATACTTACTAGGGCTAGGGGGGACTCTGGATCACTTTGGGCCGTTCCTTCCAATCTCCAAGGTATCCTGAGAGGCCGTGGAAGAAGCATCTCGGCCCCGGGCGTTGTGGATTTTCTGAATCTGATCCTGAATGGAAGACAAACTGGCACTTCCTCAAAAACTGAATTGGATTCTCTCCGCAGTCCTGTGGCCAGTGGCGACTTGGCTAAGAATCCGGCCATCTCATTTTGTCCAGGGAAGAGAGGGAACAAAGCCACGATCTCAAAACAAACGCCTCAGCTGGCTGCCCGAGGACTGCATTGTGTGAACATGCCAGCAAAACATCAGACCCTCCGAGAAAAAAGGAAGCTGAATGTCGGACGCCGAGACGACAAGCTTGCTTGAGGCGCCGGCAACCAGCTGCAAAAAGATCCATCTTGAAATTATAGTATCCATCCTGGCCAGCTGATTGCGAGGTTTTCGGAGCGCACCCCCTCGTTGCAGCCAAAGCGCCGTCAGCAGGCATTCCGGTGCACGGTACCACCTCAGTGAGCACGGCAGTGTTGTCGTGTTGCTGCACCTGGTGACGCGATTACGTTGGGATCTCCACCTGGTGGAGATGTACTCTGTGAACCTTGGCTGCACAACAACGCAGAGAAGTTTGCGCCTAATACCACATCACACTTGCCGAGAGAATGCAAGCAGGTTGCGGCTGGCGAGAGTAGATGCCACGGCAACTGCCCAAGTCTGCCAGCTTGATCTCATCCTGATGCTAAGGGCTCTGATCTCTCCCGCCGGGGCCGGGGCAGGGCCAGGCTTGAATCTTGAGGCGCCGGCGTCGAGCAGCAGCAGATTTTCTGGCCTGGCCCAAGCTGCAAGCAGTACACTCAGAATAACACCCCCAAACACATTTACTATTTTGCACCCCAGTAATATTCCAAGGAGCCGTAAAAGCACCCACCAACAGCCAAGACTCAGACACGTAAGGGTAAACCGTCCCTTACCTGTCGATTCAAGCAGGCCGTGAACACTTCACATCTCGATGAAAAATGCCGTTTCGATGCATGTGGTCCAATGCCTGGCAGAAGAGCCGCAATCACTTTGCACTCTCTGCCCGGCGCTCTGCAGTAGATGTGGTGTGCCTTCAGCATCTCGTACATGTAGTGTTTTACCTGACTCCGCGATCTCGTACAGGGTAGTTACATTAGTAAGTTATGTGCGCAACACAATCCATTGGGGTTGCCGCTTTTTGTTCTGGCAAATAATGCCTTCGTCCTTTGATGGCTTCATAGAGGTTCATGTCCTCGGAGGCATTTGTGTTGTGCATCAGTGTGCTAGCCCTCTTCTGACTCAGGTCCAAGCCATGAGCTCGAAGACTAGGGCGAGCCTTCCTGTCGGCTCGTCGTAGAGGACCTTCAGCTGCGGATCCGGGATCCAGCTTGACCCCAAGTTGCATCACTGTTGGTTGGGTGGGATTCTCGCGTCCTTTTTCCTTTCCAACCCCAGCCTTCCATTTCGGCGCACTAGAGATACTCGTGGCGTGAAACGGTCTCAGGAGCCCTGGCCTTAAGTGCACCGGGCATCTCTAGGCGAGTCTTGCGCAAGCGCCGCGCAACGTCCCCTTGCCTCCCCCCGTTAAATCTGTCAATTCCAAATGTGGAACATGGAGGAAGTCAGCTTTACCTTTGGCAAGCCTTCCTCCTTTGACCACGGAAGTCTCAGCACCTCCTCCTACCTGCTACCGAATTCGCTGCACGGAGCATGGGCTAGAGCTGCAGCAAAGGTGTCAAAGTTCCCATGACCACCACCTCGCTCCGGGCTAAAGCTAGACTCCAACAAAATTGCAGCGTCGCTCTTGGCTGCCGGCGGATAAAACAATGGAGACCAGGGACCAAGGCACCTGCACCCGAAAAAAACAAAAGGATTGCTAGCTTTCAAATAAAAGCCTCAGCCCCACCTCGTGGCTCTCGGTGTCCTGTCCTACTTTGGGCAGGATCGGCTCCTCACACAGATAAGAGTGCCGGATTTTGGCCTGCACAGCTCCAGGGAAAACTTTTACATTCGTTGCTGCCGACAGTTGCCAGCACCACGATTCCAACAAACTGCCGAAAAAGTACTGTATAACATTGGCGGTTCACACTATGTGCAAGCTCATCTTGGAACAGCATGGCGTCTGACCGTTCTTGTGGCTTTCTGCTTGTCTGCCCCGCGCACCCCCCCCCCCCCGTCCTGCTCCGACT